GCACGCACGCACGCACGCACGCACGCACGCACGCACGCACGCACGCACACACACACACATGACTCAGCATCTCTCACATTAGAGATGAAGAATCTAAAATGTTCAGAAAACTAAACAAAATAAACAAAAGTGTCATAAAATAAATTGTAGCATTTAATAATCAGACCTTATTAAGCCTAAATTAATCATTAATAAACACTTAGTTCACTTTGAAAACATCTGTTATTAATCTATGAAAAATTATTCAGACTTAATAAGATGTGACTTACCTACAGAAACAGCTGAAGTTTTTGTTTCAGTGTAAAAAACAGCTAAAATGTTTCCCTGCAGTCCAGCTGGAGATGAGACGGCAGAACTTCGGCTGATTTTACAGATTTTTTTTGCCTTTTGAACAGATTTCAGATCAGAAGAACTGAAAGTTTTACATCATTTAGACAAAATAACTTTATTTCATTGCAGTTTTTACAGATAAATCTGTTCATGTTTTCCATCATTTTAACTCAGATCGACTCGTTTCTTCTAATTAAAGTTTAAATCTGAAGCGTTCAGACTTCAGAGTCAGAAAACAATTAAATCCAGTTAAAGTGAACCTAAACTCTGAATGTAAACAGAACCAACTGAGTGGACCTGAGGTTTACATTGACCCGTTCACCACCAGGTGGCGCCATTTTCAACTTCTTTAAACTGGGAGGAAAATGAACCAACAAGTCAAAACCAGGTAAATGTTGTTTTAGTGAAAAACAAAGCTCCAGTTCTGGTTCCTGTGACTTTAATCCACTTTCTTTGGTTTGTGATTCTTCAACAGGACRACGGCGGTGAACACAGCTGAGGACAAAACAAGAAAACTATTAAAAACAACAAGAATAAAAAACATCACATTTATCTGACTTTTATCTCACATCAGAATAAAATCTGTCTTATTTTGTCCCTCATTTTTTTCATTTATCTGTAGAAAATACACATGAAGGTATATAMAACATTAATAAGAAATAAGATGCAGACCTATGCAGAGCAGCAGGATCACACCTGCGACRCCGGGCAGGAGGACGGAGAACTCACGAGGCAAGAAGTATTTATGAAGGACGTGATCGCTGTCCACAAACGGCTAAAAAACACAAACATTCAGCTGATATGAGCTGAAAGACGAGGCTGGAAGAAGGTTTGAACTGAAAGGTTGTGACTTTTATTTTGACAGGACAGTTTCCTGTCCAACAGGACCCACCAGGACGATGACCCACACGGTGTAGTAGGAGAAGAGCAGCAGGCTGAAGCCCACCAGACCCAGCCCCACAGTCTGATCTGCTCCTGAAGCCTGAAAACACACTAGAACTGAGACCAGGGTTCTGAACAGGCCCGGTCCAAAACCCAGACTTCATTCAGTCAGTAAGAGGAATCAAAACAGTCAAAAGAGTTTTTATTATTTAAGTTAAGAAATAAACTCAGTTTCACAAGCTTCAGACCATTAATA